GTTCAGAGTAGAAGTGGGAAATGAACTTAAGAAGTTTCACTTTATGGCTGCTTTGAATGGACAAATTCATGGTGGTTTGTACCTGCCAATCACCAGGGGGAGTTGTTGCTCTTGTTAAAACTCATAGGTGAACCCTGATTCATTAAGAAACAAGCTCCTTTTTCCAATGAGATCACATTCAAACTTTAAAATTAATGTTGCATTCAGGCAAATTACGCTTCCAGAAGTCACTGTAATTTGGGTCTGAGTGAATTTCTGCTGCTCAGTTTGAGATGCTGATTGGCGATGTTCCTTCTAGTATGGGGAAGATCCTTCTCTGTCATCATCAACATATGAATGGGTGCTGCGGCCGCTGGAATGTGAAAAAGAGAAAGAGGGGCAAATCCAGCAAACGCGCAAGTGGAAGATGTATCTGTGGGAAAACTTGCATGAATGAAAGCCTAAGCTCTCACTGAGGAAAAGGCTGAAGCCACCTACAGTGTTTGTACATGTATATGTGGATGACCACCAGACTGCTATTATGGCTTGGAGCCAGTGGTTTGTGGCCTTGGCGTATTGTTTAAAAAAAGTCTATTGATGATAGCGTGGAGGATGTGAGGTAGGGCCGGACCAGAGTAAGTTCCACTGACGCTACTGCAGTTAAAACGTGTGAGGTCTGCAGTAAGCCATGGCTGAAGATACAATTACAGTAATACAATGAAGATGTGATTGTGTTATGTTTCTCTCAGCATAATTATCTAGACCAAGACAATAATGATAATCTTCATTCATGTCTATGGTGTCTGCTCAGAAGTGCGCTCTGATACTGAAGTGCACTATAGGCCTTATCCAAAAGTACGTCTGAAATCAAGGGTACCCATTTAAGCCCAATCTTTCCTGTGATTTTTGCTCATTGTTATGCTACCAGTAACACAACATTGATTCTTCCAAAGTCCATAAAGCCCCTTCATAAATTTGTATGTGTGAATCTTTAAAAGGCATGTGATACTTTTTCAAAATAAATAAATAATTAAATAAGGCTCAATTACCTCTAGCTCAGTGGGCTTAAGGGACTTTGTACCTCTGTTGTGATGTTGCTGTGAGGATCTGATTGCATTCAGCCACAGGAGCATTAGTGTGGTCACATACTGATGTTGCATGATTAGACCTGGGTCACAAACTCCACTCCAACTCATCCTCAAGTTTATTAATGGTGCTCCATCACTCCAAAAAACACAGTTCCGCAATCCACTGCTTTTGGGCATGGCAACCTAGGTTATGTGCAGCTAACCCAGAGTGTCCAATTCTATTATCGGGGCTTTTCTGTGGAGATTATACAAGCTGTTTTTGCACAATTGCTTTCCTGTGTACCTTAAAACCCTGTAAAGTAGCTGAATTCATTAAAGAAGGGGTGCCTGGGTACTTTTAGACATTTACTGTATGTAACATGAATGAGCATGCAGGATTGTGATGGTGAATTAAAAGCTTTTACATCTCTATACCATCCACGCCATTATACTCTGAAACATGGGTCACCAATCTTAGCCACAAAGGTCCGGTGTGGCTGCAGGTTTTCATTCCAATTAAGCAGAAGCACACCTGACACTACTTTTGGTGGTAGTCTTAAATGAACTAGTTAGATATATCAGGCGCTCATGCTTGGTTAAAATGAAAACCTGCAGCCACACTGGCCCTATGCGGATAAGACTAATGACCCTCACTCTAAAAGGAACCATTAAAATTGTAAGAAGCAGGGAACAGTATACACAATACTTTGAAAACAAAGTGACATTTCCGCACAAAAAAGTTACCAGGCTGCTTTAAAAAGTTTATTATAAGTACTTTAAACAGTAATTCAACATAATGTAAGACACAGATTCTTGCTTTGTTAACTCCAATTAAATCCAATTAACTAAAAAGTTTAAGACAGTTAAGTAACTAACTTTTTAAAGTGAAATCACTTTTTTTTTTGTACAGTGCAGATGATAGATGTCAACTGTGAATGTCTTGTCTATGGCACCTTAGCATGCATATGTTAAGATGATTATAGGCCAAGTAAGGAGGAGGTCCTATCTATCCATCCATCCATCCATCCATCCATCCATATATTTATATTTATTTAGGCCAAGTAAGGAGGAGGGTCCTATCTGTTGGTTATGATAAAATGTCATGAAAAATTTGACACACATGTAGTTTTATCTAATTTAATGAATTCATAAAAGTAGCACACCACGCTGTTTTTTTTTTCCCTGTGTCATATGCTTTGTATTGCTCTCATGCTACGCCTTTGGACTAGCTAGGATCCATTCTCTGAGTGGACAACAAAGCACTTTTGTAAGTTGCTCTGGATAAGAACTTCTGCTAAACAACATAATTGTCTATTTTCTTTCGTTTTATTTTACACAGAGCTTTTCTGCTTATCCTTGCACCTGAACATCTACCACATTGAAGTCGTTAGGGCCAATCTGAATCAAACACACCTAGTTCAGCTAGTCTGTATACTATAGCAAGCTTTATTAGATTAGCACTTGAACTACACAGTAGAACAGTAGATTCTACTGACATAATGCTGAATCAGCTAAAGCCAGTGCATATGATTCCATCTGTCCATATCAAAAATAATCATTATTACACTGTAATTACAAGAAATCTGAGACAAACACAAGTCTGACATGCAACAGTCCTTGTGTGATAGTATAGTCTTAACTGGCCCTTCAAAGAGACCTGCTCTATAAGTGCATTACGAAATTCTTCTCTTCTGCACAGAGAACGAGAGAGATCAGATGGTGGGGGTGAACAGGAGGAGGTGCTATAATTTAAAAAGGCAGTTGTTTATTGTTGGAGAGCGTGTATTTATTTCATGGCACCGCAAATTGTGGCTAAGGGCAGATCCAGGCTTCGGCGGGTAATTACAGAGGTGGAGGCAAGCAGTGCACCACAGCAGCGCCTCTTAAGAACTCAGTCTGTGGCTTCAGTTTACTCCGCCCACCCCTTACACACATAGACATACACACACACACATGCACACTGAATCAGCAGCGGCTGGCCTGTTAACATCCACGTAATGCACGTAGTGCAAACCGATGCACCGCATCATTAGCTTGCCGACTAGTCACTTATAACTTGCTGTAATGTCTACTGTGCTCTTCTGAAGAAAGTGCACATCCTATAATTGTCTCTATAGAAGATTTGTATAAGTGGAGCTATATACTGTATATAAGTATCGTGTTAATCTGAGGCCCCTGGCTGTTTATTTTCGGCTCTCACTCTCTCCCCGGTCATCCAGTAAGATTTCTCTTTGATTAGGGCTCTCTAATAGAAGCCCCGTCTTCCTGTCTTGGTTTACCCAAAAAGGGAGGGAAATGCAATCAAGCACTCAGTCACACAAATGTTGGCTCGCAAACAGCAAAATTGCTAGTTTTGGACTAACAGCATAAACAGGATCCACATTCACATTACAAATAATTAAATTGGCTGATTTTTTTTTAACACTTCTTCTGTGGTGTGTCTACCTGTGAGTTGAAACGCAGGATTTACAGTAATTGTTGTTGATCTTGCTACACCCACCTAGCATGATGGAATGTGATTGCTATGAATACACATGTCCTGCTAAATTAGTTCCTCTGAGGTTTGTTTTAAACCTCAAATACACTTCATCAGCAACAGCAGCGGTCCTCATCCAGCCACAAACTTTCCTCTTATACTGCTCAAGCTATTTGCAAAATGGAAGCGCAAATACCTTCCAAAACAACTGTTGCTAGAACAACTTCTGTCTTGTCCTTGACAGTAAATAACCTGGTAGCCACCCTCAGTAATGAACCTAACACACTGGACAATGTTGAACATTTATTAGCCACATAGTTGAGCAGTTATCAAGTACTGTTCTTTATGCATTGTCTGTGATAACGATCAAAAATCTTATAGGGAAAAGACAAGACAGCCTGGCTTTTCTCGTAAGGCTGGATTTGAATTGAGTGATGTAAGCTATTCAAGCCCTGAGTCTATTAAAAAGGGTGATAAAAGAGCAATTAAATCAACTAAATATTGACTGGATGTCATCTGAATGACATAATTTGCATTGTTTATTATTATATGGCAGAAATGCAGAAAGATCGACTTTGTCCAGCTACACAGTCACATAAGTGAATATTTATCTCTGCACAAGCTTCAACTTTCAGAAACGTCTATGAATGCGGAGCTGGACAATGACCTAAATAAACGTTTCTGTCATTTAATGATAAGGTACATGCCTTCACTGAAACAGATATATACATGAAAAATAATCCAAGTTGATAGTGAGGTTTTGAAGAAGTGATGTGATTGTTCATGTGTGTCTGCATATTTGCTTATTGTTGAACAAAACCTTGTATCTTAGTCATTTTTAATTTTTTCACATGACTGAAAACTTTTCCCTTTACATCATGTCAAACTTTCAAGATGAATGGACCAATACAGGTCCAAAATGACTTAGAATAATATTTTCTTCCATTTAATTCTATTGAAATTTAAGGATTTTTTTCTCCTGTAAAGTTACTTTTTTGGAGATATGAGGTTTTGTTCCAAAACAAAAATCTCCATTTTTGTTGTTTTTCAGTTTTTTACATAATTTGAAAATGCCTGTTCCCCTTTACATTGTGTGTAAATTTCATGATGAATGGACCAAAAGAAACAGCCTGAAATTGCTTGGAAAAAGGTCTGGTTCCATTGACTTACATTAAAAGTAAAGTAAGTTTTTCCCTTTTCCTGTAAAGTTAACATTTTGGAAATACAAGGTTTTGTTCCGACAGCAGCAATATTCTGTCTTTAAACTGAAAGCTAGGGAGTTCCATTGTTTTGACTTAATTCAGTTTTCAACCCACCTGAACTTTATATATTACTCAAATATTATTCAGCCCAGCTTTTTATGAGTCACGTAAAGCTCTCTCTCTCTCTCTCTCCCTCTCTCTCTCTCTCTCTCTCTCTCTTCCTTTCACTAATGTACAGTGAATGAGCTGGTGAAAGAGATGTGAGATGGAGAGAGGGACAGCTGTGGGAGGGATAAAAAGAGATGGGGGATGGAGAAGAGGAGGGAGGAAAGGAATAGCGTGAGTGAAGACCTCATCTCAGCGCTGCACTCTTTCCTTCATTCACTTTCCCCTCATCAGGGACTGATGTGACTCCAGGCAGCCAGGTGAGTCAACTTTTACCTCTAACTTTACCTCCGAGTGTCTGTTTCACTAAAGGACCCTTCAGTGCAGCAGTATGAGATTTTTTAAAGTGGGTTTGAGAGCAATTGTAAGTTTTATATTCTTCCATTTTTCCTGATATTTTGGCTACAATCCACAATCTGTTAAATCTTAGCCAGTTTATTTACAGACCCGGCACTTGCCTTCACTAGAGCCACTTATAGCACCTGCCTTTCCCTTCCTGGACTGATAAACATGTTTTTGCTTCTTGTGTTTTTGTCCATTTTGGGACATTTATGAGGAGAGATGTTTGTGTTACTAATTATATTGTCTCCACCTGGAATTTGTGAAATGCATGATGGTTTTGTGGTTTTCACCTTTATGGATGTTTGTGGGCTTTTTTTTCCTTTTTCTCCATGGGTATGATGTTTGCTTTTTTGGCTAGCAGTCTATAAACTCCTCTCTGAGATGTCAGCCTTTCTTGAATGAAAAAAGATAAAAGCCCAGCAGTTCTTCTCTGAACTTTCACTGACTTATGTTGATTACATTTCTCTCAGATCTATTTAAGCCAGAAATATGCATCCCGGCAGAATTTACAGATTTACTTAACAATATAAGAGGAATATCAAGAGAAATATCACAGGTAGGATAAAGGTAGGCAACTTCATCACTGTCCTTTTCAGAATTCTTTATTGGTAACCTACACTCTTCAAAAAAAAGTTCCTAAATGGTTCAGTATATAGGCTGTGTTTCTAGGAAGACCCTTAATTTTTGAAAACGTAATGTGAAAGTTTTTTAAACTTTTAAAAAAGTTCTTCACGCTCGCACATCTCATCTTCAGGGAGCCATCTATGGAAAGGTTCTTTAGAGAAAGAAAAGTGGTTCTTCTATGGCAGTGCTCACCAAGACTACTCTTGGAGATCTACTTTCCCCAAGACATTTGTCTCAACCTGCATCTAACATGATGCTGCCCCCGCTTACCTAACACTAATGCTGATGATTCAACCGATTAGGATCTTCTGAAGAAGTTAATTGGGGCTGGAGCAGGTGTAGTGGACTGTCGTTGGAACTAGACTCCCAGGACTGGTGACCACCGACTGCTCTTTTGGCGCTTTTATTTTGACGGGTGTAAGTGCACTTTCTCGGTACAAACCCAAACAGAAGGCTGTTTTTGGAGGAGAACGCAGTGAGTCGGTTAAGTCAGCGCGGTAATTAGTAGCTTTAATGTGTAATGAAAGGCATTTCCCCTCATTTCACTCTTCAGGAGCCTTACTGGAGCAGCCATGGCGCTGGGCCTCTCTCTCTATCTCTGTCTGACTTCTCTCCTCCTCCTGCGCGCTCACGCGCTCCCCCGCTCCGGCGGCAGATCAGCGCGCGCACCGGCCGCTAAAGTCCGTCTGGCGGGCATCGGACGCAGAGAAAATGAAGGACGCGTGGAAGTCCTGCACAACGGCACGTGGGGAACCGTGTGCGACGACGAAGTGGACATTAAACTGGCCACTGTAGTTTGCAGAGAACTGGGCTTTCAGAGTGCACTCACGTGGGCACACAGTGCGAAGTATGGAGAGGGAGAGGGTGAGTGTTGTACACACACTGTACACGTTGTTTTGTATGAAATGTTTTAATGTATATATACATATAATTATATATATATATATATATATATATATATATATATATATATATATATATATATATATATATATATATCAGGCATAACATTATGACCTTGTTCTACGCTCATTGTCCATTTTATCAGCTCCACTTACTATATAGGTGCACTTTGTAGTTCTACAATTACAGACTGTAGTCCATCTGTTTCTCTGCATACTTTGTTAGCCCCCTTTTACCCTGTTCTTCAGTGGTCAGGACACCCTTGGACCCTCACAGAGCAGGTACTATTTGGGTGGTGGATCCTTCTCAGCACTGCAGTAAGACTGACGTGGTGGTGGTGTGTTGTGCTGGTATGAGTGGATCAGACACAGCAGTGCTGCTGGAGTTTTAAAACACTATGTCCACTCACTGTCCACTCTATTAGACACTCCTACCTTGTCAGTCCACCTTGTAGATGTAAAGTCAGAGACAATAGCTCCTCTGCTGCTGCACAGTTTGTGTTGGTCATCCTCTAGTCCTTCATCAGTGGTCACAGGACGCTGCCCACAGGACGCTGTTGGCTGGATATTTTTGGTTGGTGGACTATTCTCAGTCCAGCAGTGACACTGAGGTGTTTAAAAACTCCAGCAGCACTGCTGTGTCTGATCCACACACAACACACACTAACACACCACCACCATGTCAGTGTTACTGCAGTGCTGAGAATGATCCACCACCCAAATAGTACCTGCTCTGTGTGCTTTGGTTTACTTGGTTTACACTAGCTGGCAAGATGGCACTGTCCATGTAGCAAATACTGTACATTCATTCAGTCGGCTTCATGACAACCCTGCTTGAATCCCTTAAATATCTCTTTTAAAGTCTTTAGACATGTCTTTGTTTTACTTTCTAGCATATGTCTATGATGACATCATTTGTTCAGACATATTATAATACACATTATGCTATTTTGCCATCAATTAGACAGCTATGGAGGTGTGAATGTTAATCCTTCATCTCATTTGCACATTCCTAACATATCACAGGTCCTATCTGGATGGATAATGTGCGCTGTGAAGGCACAGAGAAATCTCTGAAAGAGTGCAAGTCAAATGGATGGGGGGTTAATGACTGTAGGCACTCTGAAGACCTGGGGGTGGTGTGTAGTCCTGAGAGAAGGCTGGATCAAGTGCATCCCGGAGTCTCCAGACGAGGCCATGACATCGCCCTCAGAACTAATATTACAACCTCAAACCGGTGGCAAGACGTCTATTCCAGTCCAAGGTCTCCATCTCCTTGGCATAGCAACGCTCATCCACAAGACTTCTCAAGGCAGCAGTTTTCCAGACAACAGTTCCATTCTCCGGTAAGCAGTCAGGGACACAGTCGAGTCCCTGCAACTTTTCAGACCTCTGACACAAGCATGATCTTTAGTACAAGCCAGTGTTGGGATTAGGTCCATTCTAATCTTCACCTTCCACACATACTGAAGTATAAATGTTAATGAATGTGCTCAGACATCATTCACAGACATTCAGTCTCTGTCATTCCAGTGGATTTTGGGAGTCTGTTATCAAATGCCTCTCTAAAATACCGAGCACTGCATTTTCTTGAAATGTCAACACAGTTGTCAAATAGTTTAGTTATGATGTCACCAGATTCATGCCTTCATATTTTTGCCACCACAGCAGGCCTCTTTGTTAATTTTTTTTCTTTTTTTCTTTCTTCAGTCTGCCAGTAAAGTGAAGATTGAAGAAGTTCGTTTGCGGCCAGTTTTGATGGTTAACAAGAAGCGTGCAATGGTGACGGAGGGCGTGGTGGAAGTAAAGCATGCTGGGAGATGGAGGCAGGTGTGTGATAAAGGCTGGAGTCTGAACAGCAGCAGGGTGGTATGTGGCATGCTGGGATTCCCTGATGCAGCGCAACCCAACATGAACATTTACAAGTAGGTCCTCCTTTTTTTTACCAAACTGAACAAAGTACACAATGAACAGTGTATATGGCTTGTATATGGCAGTGTTATGTTTTTTCGCATTATTACACTATTCCTCATTTATAATATCAAATCATTGCCTTAAAGGGGAATTCATTAATTAAAGGGGAAATTACTGCGAGTCATTCAGTGTGGATTGATGTGAAATGCTCCATTCTAGAGAAACTTGACAACACAGATTTTGTTTACAGTGGTATTGATAGGAACCAGGGGTTGCAATGTCTACAAAGCAAATGTAGTAATTTTATTTACTATCCAAATAGATCAATGAACCTACACTGGTCTTCTTACTTTTCATTTTTTTTGGTACTGTTTTGTTTTTAATGTCTCTCCATTATGTAAAAAACACATTTTATGCTACAACCTTATCTCAAACCATTTAAAGAACAACATTTCAGGCATAAGGTAACATATTTGTAACCACTTCATGTAATAACTTTTTGTGAGGGAGCTTTTGGAGGCATTAAATTCTTTAGATTTCTGGTTCCTAACACCACCACTCAGTAAGTCACTACAGAATGCACCATTTCACGTCAAACCACTCTGAATGACTGTGTTAATTTGTTTTTTAAGTCTGCAGAAATTTTGAAAATTTGGTGGAATTCCCCTTTAACTTCCTAACTAAGCAGTTTTTATTATGATTATATCTAAATTATGTTTCCTAAATCAGTAAAATTGATATTTTGAGAAAGAGGGGTTTTTGTTACATCCAGTTGTGATTGTGAATTATTTCATCTCACGTACCAGTTAAACTGTACATTGATTCAGGTTGCTCACATCTTTATTATAACCCACCTTGAATCCCATGAGTATTTATTTATTTATTTCTACTTACTGATTAGAACAATTTTTGGCAAGTGAGGTTGTTTTAATTATTGCTTGGCGGTAAAAAAGGCATCCCTGGAATCATTTATTTATTATAACACAGAACAATATGACAGAGTACCAATGAAGGTTCTGTACTGGAAAGTCTGACAGTAGACAGTGTGCTCTTAAGTCACCTTCTCTATTTGCCGGAGCAAATCTTTTGTTTGGCTTATCTCCTCCCTCCGGGGCACCTTTTACAAGCCTGAGCTCTCAGGCAATGATTAAAAGATCTCTGCAAACTTACTGATGGTATCTACACCCCCAATTCTGGAGATGAAACGTCTGGCTTAAGCCTTTAGGTTTCTGTTAAAAGGTCTAATATCCCTGTTGATTGTTCTTGCAGAGCGGCATCAGTCTGAAACCACAAAAAGTCTTTTAGTGGTGACAGGACCGGTTTGTTGTACTAATGGTTTTATTGTAGGCCTCCCTCATGACTTTCCATCTCAGATTCATCCCCTGTACTGTATTTACCATTGTAAATTTGTGAAATTTTAAGAAGTTGTCAGTATATTGACCAAAATGAACTATGACTCATGTTAATGTACAGTAGGCCTAAAGCCGCAGTGATTAATTATTGAGTTTTCTATATGAAAGGGCTTGGATATTTGATGTACACCTTTTGAAATCAGATTTCTTGTTCAAAACAACATTGAAATGAATCATAAGTGGCATCTGTTTAGTATATTTAAACATCAATGTTGAATAATGTACTCTACAGATTTGAAAAATTCTTAGACAGCTACTCTCTCTTGCCTTTAGCCATCTTGAGTTCTTCAGGGACGTCTGGATCTGCAAAATAGTTCCATGTGGATTTGAGTAGAGTGGAACGATCAGGCTCTGTAGCAGAGATGACAGATAGCATTATGTAATATTCTCTCTGACTAACAGCATTAGTCACACAGTGTCAGTGGAATGAAAGTGATATGCCTTGTACTGAGCAGTCTCATCGCTTCAGGAAGGAATGGATAATGACAGCTTGTTGGTGCTGTGGTTCCAGGTGATACTGTCAGCAGGAAATCGATTTAGGCCTATTAGTTATAGTACATCATCACTGTCATGTCAAATCCTCATTATTTTTTACACTATTTGAAAGTGCCAAATTTACATTATGTGGACATTTCATGACAAATGAACCAACAGAAACTGTCCAAAATTACAGTCAGTATCTGAAGTTAGCAGTGGTGCTATATAAAATCTCACATTCATTTTGCTGTCGTATTTGTTAGGTTAATCAACATCATTAGTGCATCTTGCTTTAGTATAATACACTATGAGGAATACATTTTGCATCCTATTCAAGAGAATTTATTACCAAACATGAATTACATCATACATTTAAGTATTGCCTGTCCTTAAGTCTGTTATTTCTGAAAATCCTGAGTCACAATGAGAGTTTTGAGTAACGATGGAAGGATGGACCTTCTTGATTTGACACAATTCAAAATCAGACTCCCTAGAATCCCTAGAAGACATCTTTAGGCCCATCTCTGTGGGTTTCTGCTTTGGGGTCCTCCCAAATGGCTAATATATACACATGTGCATTTGTAAAAGTTTGAGCCAATCTGTGGGACTGTGGTGGCCCTAGAACCCTCTCAGAGCGCCAGCCACATGGACAGGAAATCTATTTTTAGTGCTTTACAATGATGCTTTTTCTAGAACATAACTATAGGATAGCAGTGCAGCTGAGGAGGCCTGTCCCCTCACTCTCTCACCAAGTGAAAGATCTCATCTCAGAGTGTCTTTGAAGATGATTTTAATAGCTTCTGATGCATTTGCCAAAAATGAAGTAGCTGTGGTGAACAATTTAGCACTTAATCAGCAATTCAGAAGATAGGCTTTGGGCTCTTGTCAGAATTTGAGTAAAGCTTCATTTCTTTAGGTTCTGCTTCTCTAGATATTTGGCTGAAACAATGTGCTGCTTTTCCTTCTAGCTATTTTCTGCCTTTTTTGGAGTCTGTGGCTCAACAACCTCGAAACTACACTTTTGCACGACACAAGTATTTCATTGTGCCATTTGAGTCTGCTATAATTTTGGCAGGCATTGCCTTTTCTTGTTATAAAACCATCACTTCTAATGTTATGTTTCTGTGGTTTCCACACTTTTTTAGCCACAGTATATAGTCAGGACTTGTTGCTTGGCTGGATATAAACTATTACAGACCACTTCTAGACAGTGTAGTTCTTTCCATTGTAGTTCTTTCCACTCTTTTGGCACTTTGTTTTTTGGCTTGGTTGTAGCTGTTGTGACTGAATTTGTGTTAACACTGGTTAAAGAACACATTATAAAAATATTTAAGATTTTTTGTGCCATAAGATTAAATTCATTTTTATGCTATTAGAGAAAATTGCCAGTTTTTTCTCTCTAAACTGATTAGCTGCCACAGAATTGGTAAGAATGGAAACCTATTGTAGGTAGTCTAAGTTTGATTTCTTCATGAAATCTTATGCTTGATGTCAAAAGAGCAACCTCTTGATGTCTCAGCAGTCATTTGGTAAGTCCCTCAGTGTGTTAGAAGAGGGAAAACACTAATCTCTGCAACTGTTGGACACCCTTGACTTAGACATAAGTTGCTAAATTTCTATGGGAGGGCAGTGTTGTGTCTAGAATTAGAGCTTATGGTGATTGCAGTGACTTCTAGGCAGTCTTAAATTGGCTCTCCAACCTAGACAGCAAACTCGTCCAGCACCTGACCTCAACATGTTGTACGTGCCTGCTTGGACACTCCACACAGTTCCAGACTGGACAGATTTTTCATTCGCCCACTCAGCGTTTCAGAAAGTCTGAGCAACTCCATCCCCCATCGCTGCTTCTGCTGGATGCTCATCTGAAGATGCTGTAATTATACGTTAAGGAGCCGAGGATTTCTAAGGTTCTTGTGTGAGGGGGGGAAAGGGTGCTCAATTATAGCTGCAGTCTGTGGACTGCTGTGTCAGCAGCAACCGCTGTGTGTCACCAGCGAGATTTGAAGGTTTAGGCCACAATTTGGCTTGATTATCCTCTTGCTTAACCTCTTTTAGAGTGAGGTATTATTTTAACTTTTTGGTGACCGATGTGTCTTCCAGTGTTTGCTGTTCTCTGCGGATGCTTGAATTAAATGTTCCTGTAATTTTGTTTTTTGATGAAGTGTCCTTCATCCATCCAAAAGAACTTTCAATCTCATCAGGGTTATAGGCCTGTGATTGATATCTGGATGCAAATCAGGTGCACATAGTAGAATTATTACTTTATTTTCTCTTATGTAGCCCTTTAAATATAGATAAGAACTTCACTTGGCAGATTTATGTTTTATCTTCCCCTGAGAAAGTTAGCACCATCTCAAATCAAATTACAATTTGGTTTTAAGCCTAGGAGTCTTCAGCTTAAATACAGTCTTGTGTGTTGTTTGTCAGGTGAAGTAAGTGTCACTTATGGAAGTTGAAGACTGCAATCAGCAAATTGTATAATGTTGAGCGAGTCGAGGCAACAATTACATAACTATAGGAGGCTTACCAAGGCTAGTCCTCTTGACGCAGTGAACCTGTGGTCTAGCCGTTGACGACAAAGACACTGCAGGTCTTTACATTATATTGTTACTATTATGACAAAGCCTCATATCTCCAAAGAGGAAGCTTTACAGGAGAAGGAAAATACATGTTCTAAACTTTTAAAACTTTAAAGCAAGTTAATGTAATGAAATATTATTCCAGATAGCATATTGCTCAATTTATTGTGACATGTTCACTCAATTATAAAGTGTTTTAGATGGTAAAATCATTACATTAAAAAAGGAATTATAGAAATTTGTTTCTTATTTACTTAAAGATACTTTGGACATTTCTTTTCAGAAAAGTAAAAAGCTCTGCCTGACAGCCAAATAAATTGCCTTCATAACAAAAGATTTCACTGTGGAACATATTCATACCCTTCCGGAATTGCTATGGAATTGTGATTTTTGCAAACTTTTTAAAAAATAAACGAATACATTTCTCTTGGTTCACCTTTCATACGCAAGAACAGAGGACACATTTTGCTCAGATCCAGTAAAGAAGAGAGAGTGTATGCATAGAATGATTCCTAAAACAGTAGCATGATTGTTGTGTCAAAACAGACCAGCCCTCCCTATCATTAAGCTTCGCTGGTTTAGTTGTAAACCGAGGGTGGAACTCTGAGACTAATTACACGAGCAGGTGGGTATTTCAGTGCTAGAGACTGTCAGAACAAATTAAAAAACAGACCACTGCTGTCTGAAGAGATTCTTGAGGGCCGTAGTAGGCCGTATGTTCAGATTTTCAAATTGTTTTCGAGCCACAAGTTTGTTGAGGTTTTAGTCTGCAAGTGAACAAAGAGGGTTTATTTTGCAATTATCACGCAATGAATTGCTGATTCATCTGGCTGGTTTTGCACACATTTAGTTAAAAAGATTTTGAAATTTGAAATGTAGGGAAGTTGAAATGTATCTGTGTCTGGATGCTGAAAACAACACGTAAGTGCAGAGCGCCACACAATGGAAACATCTAAAATATTTTATAGAGCTAATTAAACTGAAAACCCCACAGAGTAAGTACTTAACTCAGAATAACTTCTTCTTTGTCATCAACCACAAGGCCAGTAGTTCTGCTGGACCCTCTGGGCCTCTGTAGTGACTACAGCAATTCAGCCATTGAAGCTGCTGCTTTAACCAGCATCTCATTTATTTATTTGCACATTGGAGCTTCTCATCAAGAAAAGGTAAGGGTAGCATAGACTATACATGGAAAAATACAGAATATCATCTGAGTTTGGACATCAAACGTAATCACAGAGCACAGCTGACTGTGTGTTTAAACTATGTATAAAAGTCAGTGTTGAAGACGTTTATTTGGAGCAGATGATGATGCATACCTACTTGCATACCATGTGTCTGTGCGATGAGTGCAGAGGCTCTTTGAAGGACCTCTCTCTCTGGCGTACTGTTTTTGATCATAGCTATGATGCTGGTCAGCTGGAGCTCTGTGGTGGTCAGTTTGTTTTGTGGGCAGCCTCACCTCGCCCATTCCAGCATGCCGGCACTCGTGCTTCCGGAAACGTCTGTTTTTTGAATCAACATTTCTGAAAGCGTTCTCGGGCCGCTGGAGCAGTCAGAAGGAGTTAGGAGTAACACCCACATTTGCAACTGAATTTGATATGTTTATTAGTTCAGGTGAATGCAAATATTGATAAATTGTTTGATTTTTGCCTTTCAAAGCATTCCCATGTAACTTCAAAACTTCAACAGCCTTTTCTAATAACATGTTGTTTCCACTTGGAGAGTAACTTGAGAGTTTAACTGAAACTTGCCATCAGCATATGTTTCTAAGAATTGTCTGTGGTGCCACAGTCAGTCACTCTACATAGCCACAAATTTAATGTTTGTATTTGTGAACAACTTACACACTTGCACATCCATGCAAACACAGGACATTCCAAGAGTACCCAAAATATCCTGTATGAAAGTAACTGGAATTGACTTGGTTTAGAGGAGGGAACAATGAGTTTGTACTGTAACTCCCCATTTACCACAAAACCACATGTTCTCCTGGACTTGTTTTGCTTCTAAGATATTTATATCCGGCATATTTTTATTGGTGTACTCTCAGGAAACTTTTCTTCTTGGCTGGTTGAGCTTTTGACAAAATCAGGTTCTATTGTTTGGCTGATTGCGCACATCATTTTACTAATTTACATTTAATTTTTACTAATATACATTGTCTTTCTTCTTTTTCCAGAAAAATATGGGACGAAAAAATTAAGGACACTTCTACAAGGTATTAGTTGAAAACTTACGTCAATGTGATAAACTTAGCTAGTTTAATAAGCTGAAAGGAAATGTAAATGTAATGCCCTAATATGATATTTATTCACTTCCTGCTATTCCCTCTTTTTCCAAACAGGTTGAGTTTCATGGCCAGAAAGAAGAGTTCCTGGGTGGAGAAGATCCATTGCCTGGGTACAGAGTCCACTCTGACAGAGTGTCATGCCCAGCTGTCCATCCCTCGCAGCCCTATACCTTGTAGGAATGGCCGCCATGCAGTGGCCCGCTGCATACCAGGGCCCCAGTTCTCACGCATGTCCTCAGGCAGGCCTCAGGCTCCACACCCTACCAAGGTAAAGATACATTTTCTCTCCATTCAAACAGCAAAGAGAGAAGGTTTTTCCACATAGGACAGGATTATTTTCTGAATAATATATTGATGATAATTGATACAATTTGTGTTGACATTCACTAACAAAGTAACAGTCAAATATCAAAACCCCTGCTTAACCTGTGTCGTGCATTTCCCTTCTCATAGCCTGTGGTGCGTCTGAAAGCAGGACCTCGTCTGGGAGAGGGCAGGGTGGAGGTTCTGCGTGAAGGAAAGTGGGGAACCGTGGTTGACCACCTTTGGGATCGTACCTCTGCCAGTGTGGTGTGCAGAGAACTAGGCTTTGGTACTGCCAAAGAGGCTTTTACTGGAGCATACATGGGCCAAGGTGAGATACTGTGTTATTTTAAATGTAACTCATTTTTAATGGACTTTATTGCTCAGTATGGGGAAGGATACAACTAAGGGTGTGCAATATGGCAAAAATATAACCATGATAAGTGAAGACAGTTTCACAGTACATGTCACAACATTTTGTTGGAATAGATGCCTGTGGAACAGTGATGGAACATTCAATGCTGTCAAAATTTTTAGTAATATACAAAAGCACACTTAACGATCAGTTTATATCCAGTTAAGCAGAGCCAGTTATGGTCTCTTGGATTCCCAACATTGTTGAAACTGTAGCTTGTGAAAGGGTGAAATCTTAGCTTGCAACAGAATGAAATCTTACACAGCCAGGCCAGGTTAAAGCCCTGTTTGAATATCTTTTTAACGAAACATGCAGTTGTTTAATGTTCTGGAGGTACTGATGATATTTATGATATGCTCAGAAAAGCTTATGGTGACAGTTCATCATGATAACAACATTATGTTGCCCACCCCTAGATACTCATTACTATAAGCAAGGGCAGATTTGAAGGTTCAGTCTATTGCAGAATTAGTTCTATATGTAAAGGGTGGGTGAAACCTTTTCTGTAGAAAGAATCATGTATCTCCAAATTGGTAAGAAGACAAAAACATTCTTAACTTTCAATGTAAATTAATGTAAAGTGATTTTATTCCAAATAATTTTGGAGCATTTCTGCTGGTCCATACATTATGAAGTTTTCACAAAATGTAAAGAAAGGCTGCTGTGTTCAAATGACGTACAAGATAAAAGTGAAAAAAAATGAAGAGAATTTTTTTTTATCTTTCTGGACAGCGACAACATGTAAATGGTTTTATTAGACGATGGATGCTTCTATCAAGTGAGAAGTTGATCTCAGTACTCAAGCCAGTAGTGTCTGAAATAACTGACATGTAGTGGCCTTGAAGTGATTGCCTAAATAAATGCATGCCATATTTCTATCATAAAAAAACATTCACTCTCTGTTGCTAAGCACAGGCCTCGCTGGAACAGCTATGTTTGTGTTTCCGCTTTCCATAGTTTTAAGCCTAGCAGCTTTGCTAGAGGACTGGGGTCAAAAGCAATTTCCATTCTTCCATTTTACCATAGTACTCTTTAGACATTTTATAGCCATGTATAATTTTGTAAGTGCAGCTGAGGCCACAAAAACATACACTGAGTGAAAACCAGGCATAAATTAGGATTCAGATGATAGAACAAGACTATACTGTCTGAGACAGTTATAATCCAACAAGCTGAGATTCACAGACCAGGCTGTGGTCACCACAGAGAAAAGTGGGCTTTATTGATGGTGTGTAGGTTGTACTGAGTCTATGTTCATGTCTCTGCTTTACAGAGCAGAGATTTAAAAGGTCAGGAGTGAGAGTGTCTGTGCAGGCCTGTTGTCTGACGGGAACATACTTGAAAACTGCCAAATTCCTGACATGACTGCTATAGACTTTGTGTGAAGCATATCACACTGTTAATCCAATCTGATGTCTGTATGATTTGCACATGCCATGATGATCCTGTTTGTTATTGAGTGACACTGCACCAAAAAGCAGTAGTCTGTAGAAGGCTCCCCAAAAGCCAGAACTCCCAGCACGATGAAAGTGAGATTATTTGTGATAGTGTGTTTGGATGACTTGTTCTCATAGGAGATTTTTGCATCAGTGAGAACATATAGAGAATGGCCTCTCTGGCTTCATTTAGTCTTAAAAAGCATCATGTGTCTTGCATGCACCCATTCCACCTAGAAATGAGGGGTAAAAAAATTTACAAGTACATCCTGGCATTCAAATCTATATTCCTTATTATGTTGTCCAACCATATCCTTTTTTCTATAACTGTTTTACTTGGCAAAGAAAAAATGGTCTTATGTAGTAATTTAATGTGCTCCTAAAATGCTATAATAGACATCCCATCAAGGAAAAAACATCATCAATGTGGATTTATATGTTGTTTAATTTTAGAGAAAGAGAGAAAAAGGTCAATTTTTCTAAAACCACAATCTTGTGAAACTCATGCAGTTTAATGCACTTCAGTGCAGCATGTCACCAAAGCCACTCCCTTTCCATTTGCCATTTTAGTACTACTTAATCTATGGTTTGAGCTTGCTTCCACTTTGCCATTTTAAATACTATAACTCTATGACTTTTCTTTATCATTTTAAAGGTGATGATCAGATGTGATGAGAGGAAACTGAGGTTAAATTACATATCTGCTGCTTTTCTTGATCACATCATCAGTTGCCAAAATTACAGGGACAATGGATGAGTGTCTATTTCCTATTCTAACCAATGGTATATTTCTGTCCCTATATGTAATTTTCTCTATGAGGTATACATCCACATGAACCCTCAAGACTAAAACCAATCTCATGTGATTCCTTCAATGGTCAAATGGTTTCCCAGAACTCTGGCAAAACTGGGTGCTGGGCAGTTCTTCCTTTAGATAGTGTGGTTATCATGTTTGTCCCAGTAACTAAACAGTTGGTGAAGATTTCAGTGGCGAAGAGTTGAAAATGGCCTTTTGATGACTTGTAGAATTTAACAAAACACACTGCACTGCAATTTTACGCAACCACTTTTTGTCCGCAGCCACTCCCCCCCCCCAAACTTCAAACAGCTTTTCCTCAAAATTGCCTCAGCAACTCTGAAATATGCGCAGTGTTGGCTCTCTCACATTTGTGTTATGCATACTCATTCTGAGTGTGGTTGTAGCTCATTTTTCCCATGCAACTCCTGAGGTGCCTACTGGCCCCAGTCTTCTGAATAGGAGTCTGGCCACGTTTTGCTTGTAGAGAGTAAACAAAGTAGGAAATGAGGTGTGACCTCACTTAGAACCTTGTCAGCCTTATCTTCACAGAGCTGGCAGATAGACTGAGCTGATACCTGTTGTCTGTGACACGCAGCTGTGATGGAAGTCACGTTTTATGCAAACGACCAGATACATTCAAACTAATCTTTGTCTTGTTGGCTATACTGCTCTCACTTTGATATTCGATGAAAGGATGAAAGAACAAAGGAATTAAACTCCCTGGCTTTCTGTCTTCACCTGGTTGCAGAAAGAGCATACTTGGAGGCTGAATTACAAATTTTGCATCACCTTTTCTTAAGGAGCAGTGCATTGAAATAAAAACACAAGACAGACAAATATGCTGGAGCCTTTTCCTTATGATTCAGCCAGTTACTCATTGGATATGATTGTTTTATTAACCATAAAGGTGCATGTTGTTGCTATCACATCAAAACCTCCAAAAAAATCGCCAAAATAGTAAGAAGAAATTTTTAAAAATCTAATTTTGAATGGAAGTAAATGAATCAAGATTTTTTTCAAAGCATTTTTTGGAACATTTCTATTGCTTCATTCATCATGAAATTTTATGACAATATACTGGCAGCTGGCATTTTCAAATTCCATTAAAAAAATGGACAAAATGGATATTCAAGGTTTTGTTCCAACAGTGGTGATATAAAATTATTGTTAATAGAAGTAGTCAACTTTGAGCAAAAATGAAAGCTAATTATGTTTATGGCCTGATATTTTACAGGAACGGGTCCCATCCATATCAACTCAGTTCAGTGTACAGGAAGAGAGCGCTCTATCTTGGACTGCTTGTTTCAAGAAGTCCAGCCGTGGACATTCAAACATTCTCAAGATGCGTCTGTCAAATGTAATGTTCCCAAGACAGGAGTGGAGACCATGGTTAGTACATTTATTAAGAATTCTGACTAAAGAAAAACTTTAAAATGACTAATAAGCTTCAAAACATGTAAAAGATGCAGTTGCTATTAGAATTGCAAGAAATGTAAGGCAGTGCAGTATAGACCTTGACTGGGTATCAAAATGTGCTTCCACTGGTGCTCATTCAACCAAGCGATCAAAGTCTTTATCATAAGAACATGTAAATCCTACGCACTCAGCCAGAGTGTAGAAGTAAAAGCCCTTATTTACCAGAGTTTAGACATTAAATAAAAACCTTTGAATTCTACATCTTATGTTGTATTTATTTATGTATGTTTCAAACTGCTATTAGACAGTATTTGTATTTACAGAGCCACTGAAGAATGATTGGTCTGTCACATCCATAACTGCGTTTGTACTGTGATAACTGTTTGGTGTTAATCATTAGTGCTTATATTGTAGGTATGTGCCAGTAACTAATCTCTGCTTGTATCTCTATGTGTGTGGGTCAGGTGCGGTTAGCAGGGGGCAGGGAGGCAGGAGAAGGACGTGTGGAAGTGCTGATGGATGTGGGGGGTAGGAAGCGCTGGGGAGCGGTGTGCAGTGAAAATTGGGGCATTAATGAGGCCATGGTGGTCTGCAGACAGCTAGGCTTTGGCTTTGCTGCTCGAGCCCATCAGGTAAGACTGCACTTAGCACAGGGCACTGTTTAAGAATACAGCACTTTCCAGTATTCACTGAATGTGTCACTTGTTCTATTTTCTCTAAACACTGCCTCAATTAAGTCTATGTGCGGCGTGCGTTGTGTGCACACACACTGTGCATGTTTTGGAGGAAGGGTGCTTTTAAGCACGTAAGCTTTATACAGTAGTTGTTCTGTGATGGTGAATGGGTGGAACGGGAGCATATAGGTTGCTGGTAAATAGTGTATTTAAAGACGTAAAATGTATATTTGGGAAGGGTTTTGGAAATGTATACTATAGGAAAAGTGTCTGTCTGATGTACTGTAAGCATTTCTAGCCATGATAAACAACATACCTTTGAAGTTCAGTTCTCGTACTTTTAGAATCATTACAGCATATGCTTATTGCCTACGAAGAGTTGCTTGTGTAAAGAAATTACAAAAATGGAAAAGGATGCTTAAGACGACACTGGAAATTTGAATGCACATATTTATTTTAATGGACCTAAAGCTAGACTTTTCCTTCCAAATATAAACCTTCGCAATGACTTATTTAAAACTGCAAGGGTCATACATAACTTTATAACTTACATATTAGTTTCACAGCAGTTAATGAATAATTAGTGTATTTATTGAATAATAGTATTAAGGTTAATAACTTAGTAATTAACCTGCATTTTAAGAGGTTAAATGAAGAGCTTCTAAATCATAAAATACTTCCTAATATGATATGTTTCGTGGAATGTGTAGCAGTGAGCAAAAGAAATCATTGACAGTTTACTAGAATAGTACCTTCCTGTGCACAGGAGACATATTACTGGCAGGGAGACCCTAATGCTCAGGAGGTGCTGCTGAGTGGGGCACACTGTGTGGGCACTGAACTGTCCATCCAGCAATGCCGTCGCAACAACTACGTCCATTGTCCTCGTGGTGGAGGAACCAAAGCAGCTGGAGTCACCTGTTCTGAGAGTGAGTGTTCATCAGGCATTCTCATTCATATAATATAAACCTATTCAAAGAACTGAACAGAGTTGTGTGGTATCCTCGTATCATACCATCGTAATAGCTTAAAGTTATCAATATAGTTGTCGGAGAAGTTGTTAGAGAAGTTGTAATTTTTTATAAATGTATTAGTTTCAGATGCTGCTGAACCTTCATTTGATACATTTTATAAATTAAAATCTACTATTTCACTTTAACTTAAAATATTGGCACCAGTATCAACGCGCATGGTGGTCAAAATTGTCATATTGCTTTTACACTAATCTACTGCACTCTCTGCTCTAGCTGCCCCTGACCTGGTGGTGGATGCCCAGCTGGTGCAGGAGACGGCCTATCTGGAAGATCGTCCACTACACCTGCTCACCTGCGCCCATGAAGAGAACTGTCTGTCCTCCTCAGCCGCACGCATGAACTGGCCGTATGGTCACAGGCGCCTGCTACGTTTCTCCTCCCGCATCATGAACCTGGGCAGGGCCGACTTCCGGCCGCGTGCTTCACGAGAGTCCTGGACCTGGCACCAGTGCCACAGGTGAGTCACCGCAACTAGGACAAAAGACCCCTCATAAAATGGCTTTGTGCTGTTGTTTTCATTATGAGTTCATGTATGTTTAAGGTAATGAGATGGAACAAGGTTTTGATGTGTTTTTGATGGAGGGTTTGACATGATGTTGTGTTAGGCCCCTATATGTCATGAACAGTATTTTGATAGAAGCTGAACTGGTTAAACAAAGTTAGGTTCTGTTAATTAATCTTACCTCCTTACAAGTGGTTATTGTTGAGTGGCCGACTTATTCATTGAACCAAGTTAACTTGACAGACATCCTGTATGAAATGTCTTTTTAACTATTACAGCAATGAAACACTCCCCATTACCATAATGTATGTCTGCACATAAATGGCAATTTCCCTGTATTGTTTCAGTGACATGAGTTTTTCCTCATCTTTTACCATGACACAATATACAAAGTTGCAAGACATTTCTTAAATACATCATGGAAAACCAGACTTAAATGATTTTTTTGGCGAAATCTACACCCACCAAACCCACCCCCACCCCACCATGTTTTCTGAAAATAATTGCAACTCATTCTATATGAACAAGGCAAGCTGTTGTGGAGAATGTGGAGGCTTTGGATATTCCTCTGCTGTATGTTCTTCAGTAATCTCTTAAATCAACAACACCATGGTTTGCATTTCAAAGCAGGTCATTCAGACCTAAATAAACAGCATTGCAAACATGACCCTGCTGGGGCATCAACAGCTTTCAGTAAGGGCTATTACCGGGGCAGCCAACACCTTCATGCTGAAGCAGTGAGGTCATTCAGTACCATGCCATAATAGCTCACTGTTCTCTTCTCATTCACAACTCAGTTCTGCTAAAGTGCAAGCTAAGGTGTTTCCAAACATCCATTAACCGCTTCAAGGCCAAGCTTATTATTCAGTTATTAATCTTAACGTTTATTGTTCAGAAACTAATAGGAATTCATTAGTAATTGCTATGAATCTTATATGTAAGTCATGGAATCATGAGAAAGAAAAAAGAGATCTGGACCTGCCCACAGGTCCTGGGAGGTAAAGGGTTTCAATTAAACCAGTGGGAGAAGGCATTGATCAGTGATCACTAGTGTCAAAGATAGATTTGATTCTGTATTCACAGGCACTACCACAGCATTGAAGTGTTCACGCACTATGACCTCCTCACGCTGAATGGAACCAGAGTGGCAGAGGGACACAAAGCCAGCTTCTGTCTGGAGGACACTTACTGCCCTGATGGTAAAAAAAAAAAAAGGTTTAGAACTTGAGTAACAGAGAAAAAGTGATATTTAGCATTAGACACTTGATGGTCCTGATGCGCAAGTTAATTTTTTCTTTTTCTTTCTTACGTATTTAGGACTTCATAAACGCTATTCATGTTACAACTATGGAGATCAGGGAATTTCTGTGGGCTGCTGGGACACATATCGTCATGATATTGACTGCCAGTGGGTTGATGTCACGGATGTCAGGCCAGGGGATTATGTATTCCAGGTAGGTTTCCCATAATTTTATACTGAACTTCATATTTTCATGTTGTATTACTGTTAAATTTCTGCTACTGTTTGAAGTCAATGAGGCTTTTAATTTCCCAAAAACATAGTATTTAAGCTATTTCAAGAAAATAGGTGTTTTACAACACCAGAACTAAAAGTCAGTGATAATGGTACTGCTTGTAAAAAGTAGACCTCCCCTCATGGTGCTGTCAAGGCTGGAATTTTAAACACTTTCTCTCTGTCATTAAGTTACATGTTAATCATGCAAATCATTGTGGGCATCATCATCAAAGTCAGCACTTAGAAGCTTAGGTCTGTTTTCCCTGTAGTAGGCCTCACTCCATGCACTGTGAAATCCCAAAGAGCCACCTTGGGCACAGTGTTTTAGACATTCCAGCTGTAAAGGATGGGTTAATGGGGCGCTATGTTTTAATTACAGTGCACCTACATGCCTTGACTATTTTAAAGATTTATTTACTTTAAATGTCTCCAAGATAGAGCAAATATATTTTAGGCATGTTTTTCAGATGCTAATTACAAACCAGCATCATGCTGGAGCTATTTGTGGTGAAGCACGGTGTTGTGGTAATGCTAAAAGGTCAAGGAACCCATCTGGCCACATGAGTCTACATACGGGTCGATACCAACCAATCCAAACAAAGACACTGCGATCTCATCTGCTGTAGCTGCACACTGGTGGCTCAATGGAGCTTAGAGAGAGTGCTGATGATTCAAAATTCAATCTTTAGGAAAATCTGGTGGCTTTTTCCTCGAGCTATTTGCTTCAATTATATAGCTAAATACCAAAAATAAGCAAATTTAAACATTACCTCTAAGAAGAGCAGAAAGCACTCTATTAGACATGGTTAATTGGGCACCAAGGAATTTACTCTGCTTTTACAAGCCCATTTTTGCTCTGAAACACATTCCATTGCCAGAGAAGACCACAGTTCCACAGCCCAGATTGAAAGCCATACACTATAATTTCACTAAACGAAAAACTCAGGTTCAGGATCACCATACTGGACCTGGATGCAGCATGTATTTAAAATGGGTGTAGGTATCTTTATAGGAACTGTTAAGCAAAGGGCATAAAATGTTCCCAGTGTACAGTACTGCACAGAGGTCAGAGACCACCCTTCATTTCCAGTCCAAACAGCCATGAAGACTAATAAGTACCAGGTTTTTCAGTATTTTGTATGCCCACCTTTTGCCTTTACTATAGCTTTCTTTATTTTCAGGAGACTTGCTTTCACTTTTTCAAAGAAATCTGTAGGGATATTTTTCCACACCTCCAAAGTTCAGTCTTAGAAGTTGGTTGCAATTTTTACTTTCAATCCAAATAATCCTGAACATATTCAGTAATGTTGAGGTCTGGATTCTGGGGTGGTCAATCCATTGTTCTGAGAACAGTGGTAGCTTTTTTGTTTTATTTTTCAATTCTTTTGTGTTTTGTCTATTTCTTTTTCTCAGTAATGGCTTTTTGACAGCTACACATTCATTCATACCCATAGAGTTGAGTTGTATTCTCTCAGTGGAAGAATGGAGCAGAAACATTTGTGGATTTTTTCAGATCTGAAGCAAGAGCGAAGCTTGTGGAGCTTATCTAATGGTAATGGTTTGGGTGGTCTACCAAGTCTACTGTTGTTAGAAGTTTTTCTGTATCTTCGAATATGTTTTTCTCCAAAGCTCCTGTTGTCACTTACTTTCCTTTGACTGTTTCCTTCCTTATCCAAGTGGATTATCTTATATCTAAACTCCTCGGAAATATCTCTTGAAAAAGAAATAACTTGTACTTTTGACTGGAACTTAAATGAATGAAGGATGGTCTCTGATTTTTACAGAGTACTGTAAGCATTGTCTTTGTTAGTCTAGAGAATTACTATATGTTTAACTTATGTATATACATGTTTGCTGTGTGTATAGACATTAAAATACTCAAAATTCTCTCTGTCTGTGTTTCATTACAGGTGGAAGTAAACCCAACACTTGACATGGCTGAGTCAGATTTTCTTAATAATGTAATGCGCTGCAGGTGCAGATATGATGGCCACAGAGTCTTCATGTATGGCTGTCATACAGGTAGGAACAATGTTGTTTAACATATACACAAAAACAAAAAATATTAATTATCATACTTCTCACTTATGAATTTGCCTGGTTCGCCCTTGCATAGGAGATGCCTATAGTGCTGAGATTGAAGATTTGTTTGAGCACCAGCGCCAGATCACCAACAACTTCATCTGAGCTGAGCGAGGAGTGCTGATTGAGGGCAGCATGTGCTGGGGTGTCTGCTGGAAACATGGCCTTCTACAAAAATCTCCTATTTACTGACCACAAACATATCAACTGGACAACATCACTCAAAGGAGGAAGGAATTCACAAGAGTCAAGGGCCCATTTCCTTACTGTTTTCAACACGCCCTTGTTGACTTCCTTCATGATGAAGTGCGTATCACCTATCACAACACTGGACAGGGCAGGAAGTTACAATGGAAAGTGTATTTTCCTTAAGAACATATATGCCTTTTTTAGCAAGCAGAGGGCATTCATTTGGACCGATGTAGTGTTTTGCACACTAAATGTGCTTTGAATTAATGAAGCAAAATCCAACATTAGTTAAGTAATTTTAACTTAAGCTAGACATAAACATTTTTGGAGAAACATAAACTTGCTAACAAAGTATAGATGGAGTAACAGACTGCATAAAACCCAATAATGTTATATTTGTGTTATATTCTACCTATAAACATCAGATTTCAATGCATTTTGGGCAAATTCTGCCCCAGATAATTCTGCTACAGTGATAGTGACTCGATCCACCAGCTCTCCAAACGGTGATATAATGAATTCACTTGACCTGATGAAGTAATAGAACTGGCCTTGAGAGGGCGACAGGGGAAAAAAAAAGTGAGGGAAAATCAGTGAGGGCATGTTAAGAACAGCAATGAAAAAAGGCCAAGATCTACTAATGAGTGGACAGGCAGAAAATGTAGTAGCTGTATAGGTAGCACCTTACTGCCTGACTAAAAGTGTTAACGCCATTAGGCCACCTGTTTTGAGAAGACTTTTAAAAAGAGATTTATTTAAATTTACTGGGATTCTTTGCTAGGTTTTGTGACTGGTGGTTGAAACATTAAGAGTGCAAGTACTTGTAAATCTGCTTGATATGCGAATTTGTTTTTTGAACAAATTCAAATTCCATACAAAGGCTGATTTAGAGATTTTTACTAACCAAGCTAGGTTTATCTGTATATTATAAACCAAATGCATTTTCCAGTGAATTTTAACAATAGTTTGTAAAGTTATTTGAGTGATGCACTTTATTGATCATCAGTATTCTGGTAGAAATTACCCAATCACCACCGGATCAGTTTAAGGCTCTTTCCGTTCCTTGTTCTTCTTTTTTGTTCTGTTTTTTTTGTTTGTTTGTTTTCTTCAGTAGTCAGTATTTATCCCATTATATTTATTCCTTTCATTCTAGTTAGGTCTGCTAGTGAATTCCTGAAGTTCCTGAAGTGGTTATACCTTACAATATTCATTGTACAGTACATGCTACAGATTAATTTATTTAATACGTTGTTAAACTAATTTTATTTTTTAATGGAAAAAAGTTATTTTAATAGTAATCTTTGAATTCAACAAGCGTATGTAATAAATAGTTATTGTTTCAATTCTAAAACATCTTGACTATTTGTGGTGCCTCAACCCAGCAGGGAACTGAAGCTTTTTTTTTTCAGCTGGTAGAAAACAGACCTGGTTGTAAAAGTACCAGTTACAGCAACGTTAGAAACAGTATAAAACTTTATGGGATTTGCATATAACCATTCTGCCAGAAGCTCTGTATAAAAGACAAGAGGCCTGGATGGGGGACAACAAAATGTGTCTCCATTTCCTGAGGCTGAGGCTCACAACAGCTAAAATCAGACTCTGGCCTGTGACAAAGACCGCAAGATTTACTTGGAAGGGAAGACAACTTGTTTGGTGGAAGGGCAAAAATCTTTTAGAAATGTTGTTAGCAATAGCTTTATTCTTACTTTTTGATAGGGAAATTGCCTATTTTGAGGAGTACTGTATTCTTGTCTCATAACTATATATTGAATCAGTTTAGGTATTTTATTCACTGTACACCGTGGCTGTAACGACAGTTAATGTGTATTTTATGAGTTCTGCAATTTGTTCCTACTATGAATCCTTAGCTTATTTGTTCCAGAGATTTTTTTTTGTAGCCACTAATTATGGAAACCCTTCAGATTGCCTATAATTGTCCAACTCAAGAGCATTTTAAATTGGCCTTGTTGGCTATAAAGACTTAAGTCCAAATGATCTCTGCACCAGAAGGCTTTGCAGCAAATATATTTCACTTTATCCACCAGCTTGTTTCAATCAACAGCTGTGATAAAATACCTCTGTATTATGTCATGTGTCTACCCCCTTTCCTTAGTTCTAAAAGTCCATAATGAAAAAATGACCATGTGATACAATTACACATAGTACTAGCCACCATACATGGTAGTTACTATATTTTACAAGGTGCTTTCTGACTGGTTTGTGATACTGGAGACATCATTTTCTACATGTTAATACTTTTTATTATGTATTCTGTAAGTTAATATGACTTTTTATCCTACGGTTGATATTTATCAGACAAACTCTTGTCATACTCTATGTATTGAGGTTGTGTGAACTGGAATATTACTTGGTGCTAACTGTACACTTTCCTGAAACTCTTTAATCGGCTGAGAGTCTAAACTATTGCTCTTTTATCCCATATGTTGTGCTCTCAGGGATGAACTGTGTGTGTCCTCAGTTTTGTTCAATATCTTCAACAGGTTTGTGGTCAGAATGAAAGGATCTGAAGCATAGTGAAACAGTTAGCAGGCGATATCCAAAGCCATTTCAATATTTCAGATGCTGTAAGATCCTGACTTCTGACGTAACGGTTTTGGTCAGTTTGTCAGTCAATAAGGTGGCCACTCACCAGTCAGCAGTCTTTGCACTTATGATGGGTCAGTGCAAATACTGTGCTCTAATGTGAATGAATATAACTGATCAAATGTAAGCCACCAAATTAGTTTCACTTTCCTTGCTTTGTGTTGGGACAATATCAATAAATTATCATTAAACACAATGTGTCTCTGACCACGTTCCTGTGCACTGTAGTTGGAACGTCTGTTTCTGTCTGTGATTTTATCAAGTGAATCAATGTTTCTTCAAGCATAATTTGTATATGGGGGCATTGACATGATTGTGACAAGTCAATTTCTAAAATACAAATAAAAAAAAAAAATCATTTATTTGGCAGCTCATCAAACAATTAGATTGTCATGCCCAAATTTACTGTTGTGTGCAAATATTTGAGCACCCTTTGTCAAATTACATCTTTTTTGCTGATTTTCTAAGTGAAAATTAAACAAATAAAAAAAATAAATAAATGAATTTGGGCAGTGCAAAATGTATGGCACATTTTATATTTTCCAGTATGGTAAAATAAGTAAATAAACAGAAACTATACACTAAAATTTGTAGAAAATTGCCACATTTAAGTTCTTTTTGTCTGTAGACTTTCTGTAGATGATTTGTTGACTTATTGTCACTTGGAAACTCAAAAAAGAAAAAAAAAACAACATGTAACTTGACGGGGGTGTTCAAACTTATGACGACTCCAAAGGTATTTTTTTTATTTTATTTTTTTATTTCAGAGTCTTAAAACCTGCTAAATGTTTCCATGAGTGCTGTTGTATGACGTCAAGCCCGATCTTTGAACTGATTTCAATATAAAAGTCTCAAAATGGTCTTTTCTTGATGGTTACACCAGATGATATTTCATAAAATTAACAACTCTGGACAACTTCTATTAGAATATTATGATAGCACTATGAATGCATTGTTTTGCAATTTTACTCAGTAATATGGAGCACTTTTGAAATTATGCCAATACAGCAAAATAAACATGAAAAAAATGTGAAGTAATTTTAAACACGTTTTTCTAAGTTGCACTAATGGTCCGACAGTCACATGGTATACTGACTCTTTCAATAAGGGAAAAATAAAAAATAAAATGAAAAAGTGGGTACACATATGAGAGAGGAACTGTACGTAGGAGGCCTTTTTAGGCAATTAGTTTGTTTTTTTAGGGCAGAAAATTTTGCCAGGCCGAAAAGGTCTGCGTCATGTCATTCACCCACATACATACTTATAAGCCACATTAATTTTGAAATTTTCTTCATTTATATACAGCTATTATTTCTTCATTAAAGAAAAAAATGCTTCCCTTACTAATGTGGTTATTCTAGAGAAGGGAGTTTACTTAAAGGACACAGCTGAGAAAACTTGGGGGTGGATTTGAAAGAAAGCACCTTGGCCACTCACTGCATTGGAGCTTATCAGCCAGCATCAGAACGCAAGCCTGCTGGGTTTCTGCTCCATTTACAAACAGACTGCCACTATGTTTTCATTTTGCCCATGCAAACCCAAAGTACACCCTGTTAAAAAAAACACATGGTTTTATATGGAATGTCAAAGTCTCCCCACCCTGCTGAGAGATAAAGACTTACTACAAGGATTGAGTGTGCAGACACCATGTCCATAGACAACGCAAACACACAGATACACAGAAGTTCTCAAAACCATAACGTCACTGGCTAACAGGCTTTTCCTTCACAAGCCATATGCTAAAATTAGAGATGACGTGATACCACTTTCACTTTTCCTATACTGATACCAATAAACCTTGAGTGTTAGTCTACAGCGATCTGATATTTTTTTTTCTTTAAAAACTGCAAATAAATTAATAAAATTTAATTTATGCACCTAATCATAATTAAAATTTAAAAAATAAAAACCTTTGGTGAACTTTTGCCAGTGAATAGGGGATTAAAGGTTGTTAAGCCACTCAAAGCTGCTTAAATTCTGAGCTCATGCTGAACTGAACTATGTTGGCTTGTTGCAGTCTAATTCTGTAAATCGAAATGGTCCCCTAATCACTATACCCTATATTCAAAAGTATGGATCACTGTATAGAACACTATTATAGTAAACAGATTCTGTTACATAAACACTGTAGCTGGACTTGGTAATCATCCTTAAAAAAGCTGCATGTGAATCTTCAAACCAAAAAGTGCAGTGCATTATGGGTATACCCTTTCTGCTAGAGTTCATCGATTGTACACTTCTTATTGTGGTGCATTGTAAGATTGCTTGAGTGCATTAGGACACCACCACAAAATGGCAGAACCCCAAAATACTGCATTAAATAGTGAATAGGGCACAATTCAGACACTGCTTTAATAATTTTCCTACAGCTATGCACAGCTAGCTAGCTGCCACAGTCTCATTTATTCATGGCAATAAACACAACTGAGAACCTGCTAGCTAGCTAGCTACCTCACAATCTGGTGAAGAAAGAAATTTATTTGGACTGCACCTGAAATTAAACGTGACGTTTGTCACCTCAAATTCCGAGAGTCTTGCAATTTGTGCCAAATCTGCTTCTCCAGTTAGTCCAGTGTGGAGAGCTGGTAGCATGCAACTGGTAAGAAGCTATAGTATTTGGTATAAACAATGGATTTCCCCACAGATGTGGTATAACTGTTATTCAAATTTTAATTATCAAATGTTATCAACTACTTGTTGCAGCCTTAGCACCATCTCTAAATTGCATCTTAAGCAAAAAGCAGTCTTACCGTACCAATATGAACACCAAGTGTCCTACACATAATGTCTTTAGCCCCTTTACCTAATTTCTTGCTATTGCTGAGAACCCTAAAAAATCTTCTTTAATAGTATGGTAACCTCCAAATGAAGGACACTCTGCACATTCAATGTGTCATTCTATCCTAAAACATTGCACACTTACAAGGCAGCCCATTCTTTTATTGCATACATCTCTATTTTAAACATGGCACAGTTCGACTGACACACGCTATTTGTTCAGTGG